TCATCATTCGCTGAAGCTAGAGCAGTCTTCACACATATGTAGATAGGTTTGTAATCACTGAATACCGCTTCAGATCACGTACTTGCCAGTCTCTAATCTTTAGTTTCAGCCTTCGACGTTCGCTGAAGGTTCTTTGGTGTGAGTGTTGTCTTCTTGAAGTATTGTTGTCTATGATGAATTTACAATGCAAGTTCTTCAGCGATCACTGAACATACTCAGTGATGATCGCTGGAACTGAAAATACAGAAACACAAATACAACGTGAAAGGAAAAAAGGGATTATCATCAAATCACTGAGAGAGAGGATCAACAAAGTCTTTTGTCCGATTTACATAAAGAGTTCGATCAAATCACTCACAAACACAAAAATTTCAGCTTTTTCCAACGAAAAATGGATCAAAAATCAGATTTTTTACAAAATTTTCAAGAACACAAAAAATTTCAAAAACACAAATTCGATCAAAAACTCGAAAAATAATGATCAAAACATGAAAACTTGTTAATAACAAAGATTCACAATACAAAAACGCACAGAATGATCACGGTTTTAACATAAAAACACAAGATTTTTCAAATTTTCCGATCAAACTTAAAGAAAATATGAAGAACACTATGAACAAATGATGAACATCATGAATCTGCAGAAAATTTTTCTTCAAAAATCTTCAAATTTCTGATTTCTTCTCTTGATTTATTGCACAATCTGCTCTAATACCAATTGTAAGTCCACTATGATCAATCTTCAGATAAACATCAAAGTATCCATGGCAATTAGGATGAACATTAAGAACATGTAGAAGGAGAGTTGAGAGAATTTGTCAACTTGGTTAACTTTACTAATGCGTATATGATTTTACAATTGAGCTCATACAAAATTATAAAAGACAAACCCTTTATATATGGTCAAACTTGAAAGCCACTAGTCAAAGTCAAACTTTACAGAAAAGTCAAACACGACGACTTATACAATTATAGACAATATTTATTTTTCAAGACGAATACAATTTACACTGAAATTCAGACCTAACAACCGCCATTACGGTTTGGTTTGTGATTTGAGGGGTTAAACCGCCCAAACCGGACCGCGAACACCCCTAAAAACGGAGAATATTTAGTTAAATATTAGACAACTATAAAAATGACATTAAGAAACTCAGAGAAAAAAAATAAGCCAACAGATTTAAAACTTTACCTAGATTAAAACCAAAAATATCATCAGTTCAAAAATTTCATCTCATGCTAATACCTTTCGGGGAGATCTGAAGAATCAAGAGAGAGAGAGAGAGAGAGATATAGATGCAGAGTGAAATCGAGAGGTATGGATCCCCTTTCAGGAATCAAAATGTAGGTCTTCAAATGTTTATATAAAATTCATTTGAATTGTTTTCAAGGTATGGATCACCTCTCATGATTCAAATCCAGGTCTGAAAAATTGGAATAATCATTAATGGATGATGAAAAAAATAAAGTATTGATAGAAAGGAAAACTTTTAGCCACACCAAAAATTAGTGGTGGTGGTATCAGGTTAATAGTCATCAGTGGAATATAAAAAAGGTTGTAGAGGAAAAAAGAAACTCTTAGCCATACCCAAATTAATGATCGTGGTATCAGGTTAAAAGCTCTTGTATACTGTGCTTATTCACTTGTAATTAAAATATTTTCATATTTTGTTAATAAATTAGTTGTACCTTGCACATTAAATGTTGTCTTTAAGAGTTATTTTTTCCCTCAAAATATAGACAATATTATTGAATATTGCTATATTTTTCATTTATCTTTTAATTAGGTTTTAGTTATTCCGTTTTCATCATGATGTTGTACATAATCACATTTGATTGTGTACATGATTAGACAACAATATTGTCATCATGTACATAAATACAACATTGGTTTGTGGAAGCAAAAATCTAATGATCATGCCATAACTACATGTTGCTCCAACGTCTATATCTTCCATTATCACGTGTGATTGAGTCTACATGTTGCTCCAATGTATATCTTCCATTATCACATGTGATTTAGTCTACGTTACGTACACAATCACAAATGATCATGTACAACACTTTTTATGTTAAATAACAAATTCTATGAATAAATCAAATAAAAGGTATAAAAATGAAAATTAACACATTTTTTAAAATAATGAATAATACTTATCCAAATATTAAAAAAACATTACAATTCATCTTTCCAAAATATTTTTCATTTTGGAGTATTGGGTGGGAGTGAAAATGCCCAAATTTTGGAGAGAAGCAACCAAGAAGGTGTTAGGGATATGGTATGTATAGGAGATTAAGAGTATGTTGACTTATTAGAGAATGGAAACTTGTAATTTATTGGCTTTTTTATTTTTCAACTAAGGTTTTAGATTGTTTGAGATGGGATGTGATAATTTATATTTTTCAAAACACGATTTAAGACGATAAGTGTGTATATATATATATATATATATATATGTATATATGTATGTATATATATATGTATATGTATGTATGTTTCTGGTATTATTCAATTACATCGTATAATTTAGTTAACGTAAAATGAAGAAAAATAATATATAGATATTAAAGGTTACAAATGTATCATAACACCAATTTCGGTTACGCATAATGCGAAAATAACGATAAATTTACTTCATGATACATACTTATGTTATCATGCTATTATACGTTAGGGTAGTCATAAAGAAGAGTTTGCCACACCATCGATCATGATGACAAAATACATGGCTTGTTATCATGCCATGTCATGCTTTCTTGTTGAAGAATATCGTAAGTGGATTCAAAATCGTAAAGTTTATATCAATACCACTAAAATTGTATTTGATAACAGTAAACTCATAATGTATATAATTATGGTTGGGTTTTATGTTTAGAGTATACAATTATTTGTTTAGGAGATAACAAATGGAAAAAAAAACATGATTGTAGAATACATCAATAGAATGGGAGTACGTGACATCCATTTATGTAAGCCGACCTTACTAAGTAGTAAGTTCCTTGAATACCAATATGCATGACTTTACGTAAAACTTCATATATTTATATTGATATGTAATTGTTGTTATTACGGAGTTTGTAGTTACCATATCTATCACATCATGTTGATTTTTTTGTTCAAATAATTGACATTTATCGGATGAATTCTAACCATATCTTTCAGGATACCTATTTTTTCTCAAAATGTAATATATTTCCCTACATATCTAAAGGAAGTAACTTCTTTTTTGGTATGTAATTTTAATTAACATTTTTGAATACAAATATTTAATTAGACTGAAAAACAAATAGAAACCCATCAAATGTTATAAAACCAGTTTAAAAAATAAAAGACATGTGAAAAACAAACTCGTAAAAATCAACCCAATTAGTTTGATTTCAAATCATGGTTAATATTTTGTAAGTATAAATGTGTGTTTTATATATAAATATATTTTTATGATTTTTATATAAAAATATTTTATTTATAAAACAACACTACTGTGATGTGATGTGATGTGATGTGATGTAAGACTAAGAAAAACTGATACCTTTAATAATCAAATAATTTTATTAAATCGTATGTGATGGAATGGAAGGAAAGGAATTAGGAATCAGGAATCAGGAAGCATAAGTCACGGATTTGGGCTGGATCTGGGCCTGGTTGATGGGCTGAATCCGGACAAAACCGGATTGCGCAAAAGGTAAAAAATTGTGGTTCCTGCCTGGTTCGGTTTAAGAGAGAGAGAGAGAGAGAGAGAGAGAGGAGAGAGAGAGAACAAGGCAAAGACGGAAAACTACGTTCGAAAATTCGAAGTTGCAAAACCTAATCGATCCAAAAAGGAGACCAAAAGATCGAGTAACAAAACCCTAACAAATCATCACATCCCTGGTTTCACCCATCACTTCCCCATTTCGATTGAACCCTAACGGTGGTAAGTCAATTCATGTTCATTTCTTCAATTTTTTGACTTTTCAATGCTATTTCGGCGTATTTTTGGATGAATTCGTTAGAATTTCCAAGATATGTGTGTGTTTTATTGGTCAATTGCGGGATTTTGTGTTGTAATGTTAGAAAGTATCGAAATTTGAGTTTGTTTTTAGATGTGGATTTGGTAAACTGATTGAGAAATCTTGAAGCAAGGTCTGTTGAATGAATATCAATTTTGATGGGAAAATTAAACGCCAGTGAAATGAAATTTCTGTTTAACCTAGGTGTTTGTAGATGTTGAAATTAAGAGCAAAATGGATGTTTCCCTAAAAGCTACAATATTAAATTAGCTTTATTTGTCGGCTAATTTTTTTCTGCCGAGAAGCTTTAGGAGATGTAAGTCTCACAATAACGTATTATCTTGACACGAAGTCCCTTTTTGACATGTTAAAGTGTTGTGACTGACCTTTGATAATGTGTTCGTTGCTCTTGAATTTATAGATCATTGATGGCAGCTTTATTGAATTTGGACTGTGTTTAGACAAGCAGGTATTAAAGCTGCTAATAGGATCTTTTTAGTAATGGCTGCTAATTCCTCAAGTACTTATGATTTTCGCCACAATCATAGGTCAACAGAGGTTAAGTTTTTCAATGTCATCATATATATATATATATATATATATATCTGTTTTTGGATTCTTGTATGTGACCGTTATACCTATCATTTGCTGAGAGAAATCCTGCTACTTACCTATATTTTTAAAAAATCATGTGGGTATCCCACTACGCGCGGTTCATAAATTTTGATCTCACTACTATATTAAAGTTTCAGTTTGGATTATTGAATGTTGTGTATATCCATGTATTAGTCCATCGATTTTAACCTTTGTCTCTGCGACCACTAAAGTGATTAGTTCTCTTTTTTTTCTTTTTTTTCAAGATCTAGGACCATTGTAACTTCGAGGATTCAGGGACATCTATACCCTTAATGATGCATTTTCTTTTTCATTTCTATATAAAACTTCTTGTCACTGGAATAACCTTCATGAAGCTAATTTAACGTCAATTGGAACCCTAATAAAATAGATCTAGCACCAGTCAACTAGTTTTTTTTAAATTATAACATGACTTGAACACTGACCTTTCCAAACTTGCTTAGTCAAACCATGTTGGGTATTGTGCTTAAATCCTTCCCTCTTTCTGCAATTGAATCTCAAGGTAGGTTATTTTGTTAAATTCAATTTCAACCAAAACTTCAATTATGTATTTTTGTATATATATAAAGATATGAAGTGTTTCTCTTTGGTATATATTTGTCCACAATCTAGTGGACCATCGATTCATACACATAAGTACTAGACATGTGTTTGGCACTAATGTTCTGTACCTGAAAATTGTACTCATTAAGGGGTGTTTGCTTACTGCTTGCCTATCAAACAACTCGTGTAACATCTGTCTATCCCTGCAGGCTAGCATGGCTGTGATTTGTTTTCTTCTAGAATACATGGATAGATTACAACAGATAGAACTGAGTTGACTAGAAGTATGCATTGAAATTTTTTCCTATTTCCAACCATTTGGTATCTCTGAGATGAGAAATCTTGTGACCCTGGTATATATGGTTGCATGTTATGGTGTAACTAATGTGCATGAGGTGAACTTGATCCTAGGGAAGCAACTATGTTCGATTAAGGAATTATTGTTAAAGTTCCATTGATAATGCAACTATTATAGCATCATTTACTAGTGCGAATTGTCAATTTAATAGGACTGATATACAGGTTAGAAATGGTTATTTTTTTTTTCCTAACTTAATTCTCCATGATGTTGCATAAATATGCCTTATCTGAGTGAGTGTGTTTGGTTAATGTGTTTCCGTATGTGGTTAGGGCTTCTAGTATTTTCTCATTTACATAATATAAACCATTCATCATTAAATATTTTGATGTAGTTTCTCTTTTGTGTGCTTCTTAAATGTTGTTTTCTTACATTAGATGACAATTACTCTCTCTTCCCTGTTTCTCACTCTTATCTTTTGATCTAGTTTGCCTCAAAAATAATTTTCACTTGCCAGGATTGGCTCTCCCTTTTCTTTTGGTCATCTAGATTTGAGTAATTGGCAAGCGAACGTAGCATGATGACGAGTGCATGTGGTTATGAATTTGATAAGATTTAAATTTGTAGCAGATTTTGTTAACAATTCATTAATCATCTTATGAATATTTCCAATCTTGAATCTTCTTTATAACTATCTCCAACCATTCTTTCTGGTTTTTATGGTTATTTGACCGAGATAATTCATTGATATTGTAGGAAGCTGGAACTCACAATGTCTCCTGCATCAAGGTCAAAGGCCAAGGACAAAAGGGCTACTGGCAAGGAGCCACAAAAGTCTTCTACCAAACCCACATCAAATGCTAATGCAGGTGGTGGGGTCCCTGCGAGTGGTTACAACCCGCTTCTGGGAACCTTTCATACACTTGAGACAGCACCAGTGTCTTCTGCTCCACCTATTCATGTAAATGGCCGTTCTCGTAATATTGATGACACAGAGGATCACATTGGGAACTCTCTTGGGATGGGAGTTGAATATGATTCCTTATCTAACAATGGTAGTTGGTCAGGCGAGTCCGAAGATCACAAAGACAAAACTTTTCAAGGACCCTCTCGCCAGGAGACAGTACCCGGGGTCGACAGTGATAAACGTGAAAAGATTCGCCAAAAGAATGAGAAGAAGCATCAGCGGCAGAAAGAGAGGCGGGCCCAGGAATTGCATGAACGCTGTAGTGGCTATCTGATGTCAAGAAAGCTAGAAGCACTTGCTCAGCAGCTTGTTGCGATGGGATTCTCTTCAGAACGTGCAACAATGGCTCTTATATTGAATGAAGGTAGAGTAGAGCAATCAGTTGCGTGGTTGTTTGAAGGAGGTGAAGATGCAGACAACCAAAGGGAGCATAATCTTGACAGTGGTGGTAACTTAAAACTTGACATTTCTGAGGAACTTGCTCAGATTACTGAAATGGAAATGATGTTCAAATGCTCAAAACAGGAGGTTGAACGGGTGATTGTCGCCTGTGAAGGTGATCTTCAGCAGGCGGCAGAAACCTTGAAAGCCCAGAAGCAGGAACTGCCTGCTGCTCCGCCAAAGCTTGAAGAAACTGGCGATTCTTCTAGTGGTGGTGGCGGTAAGCTTTCTGTAGCCATGAGTCAGAACTTGATGACCTCAAGAACACAATCAAAATCAGTAGGATCCATACCCATACAGCAGAAAACTGATGATAAAGATTTTAATTATACCAAAGTGGCTGTTACGGTTGGACAATCATCAGCGGAACCCGGGGTCAAAAGCTTGCAGTTGTTAAAGAAAATCCCACCCAATTCAGAGTGGTCAAAACAGCAACAAGTTGGCACTCCATCTGTAGAGAAGAGGTGGGCGGTTGGTGGATCAAACCCTTCTGTCTCATATTCTTTGGCTTCTCCATTGCAGGCTGCACCACCACCAGCCAAAACCGAATCCCGATATGCGACTGTTGGAACCGAATTAAAGAATCTTCAGCTGGGATCAGTTAGGGAACCGGTTATTGTGATGCAGCGGCCCAAATCTAAGCACATACCTGCGAGTGTAAGCTCTTCATCATCATCGGTATCTGTTGCTGATTGGCATCCGAATGTTGTTGAACCAGTAATGAATATGAATCCCAATGGGTATTCACTTGTGCATACTAGCACCCGAAGCTTTAGCACCCCAAGCTACGGTGGCAATACCCAATTGTACGATCAGTTCCATTATCAGCAACAACAGCAGCCACTTCAGCAGCAGCAGTATGCATCGATCAGCGACCCATTGGATCACCATTTTAGCCAACATGGTGCTGCTATGAACCATTTTAACAATGGTGGCATGTGGAACAGAATGGTGGGTGCAACCACCACTCCTACGCTGGCGGCCGCCTCTTCCCTGGGACTGTTCTCTGGTTTGGGGTCGAACGGGTCATCAGGGCCATCATCTCCTGTAGACTGGAATGCGGGTGACTCGTTGCAGTTTGATTACACAAACATAGACTGGAGTCTGGACCGGGTTCCGGGTCAAGCAAATGGGTCAAGGCCGATTGGGATGTGGATGGGGGGTGGTGCGAGCGATGTGTATGCAGCAGCAGCAGCAAGGGGTGGTAAGAGCGCGATGAGACCGCCAACGGGTATTGTAGCAAATGGTGGTTTGCTGCATCCAGATGGTCCAGAAGCATCTGCAGGTGGTGAATGGAGTTCTCCATTTGAAGAGAAAGAGTTGTTCAGTTTCCCCAGACAGTTTGTGTCTTCTCCCTCTCTGTAATGATAGGGGAGAAGGGGCATAAAATAATAAAAGATGAAAAAACAATAAGAAAACAGAACTTGAAAACATGTGTTGGGATTTAATGTTTCTATTGGTTTTTTCAATGATCCCTGCTGCGCTGTTTGTTTGTGTGGTGTTGATGATAGGGAAATGGGTATCTTCTTCTAGGAGCTGAAATTCGTGAATCGAAAGCAATGTTGTATAAAGACTTGTATGTTGTGCATTAGAAATTGTACATTGGTCTAATGGTAAGAAGGTGGACATCTTTATATTGCTGGAGGTTTGCGAATTTTAGCTCTGGTGAAAAGGGGCTACCCGAGTTTGAACTATAATTATTGTTGAACTATATATAATATAATATAATATAATATAATATAATATATTACTTACTGAAAAGGGCTACCCTTGTTTGTAGGCATTAGATTTTAGTTTAACAGATAAGAAGTTGGATATTGGTTGCTAGTCGTTTAATGGATAAGAAGTTGGATGTGTATATTGGTTGGTTGTTAGTGATATGCAAAATTTCAGCTCTAGAAAGGGGCTGCTCTTTTTCTTCTTAAACAGGCAATATATTAAAAACAACAGAGACAATTAACCAAAAACGACGACATTTGTTTTTGTCTAACAGCTTCAAAGGAAAACAAAAGTGGAGTGCAGTGCAGTGGTTGTAGTACAAAACATCAACTCTGGTTTTTGTTTCCTCCATCGACGGCCATTTGACATTTCCCTTACCAACTCAAGGTTTCCTCCAACGCCACATCACCATATCTCAAAAGTTGTAAAACTAAGGCTTGCAAAATTGGGAAAACATGAGCTTCTTGGAAAATGGAAGCTACGGTGTGTTTATACCCTTTACCCTTTGAGTTTGTTGCTGAAAACACAATAAAGATGCTACTGAAGAAATTCATAGATACCCACAATAATTTATTTTAGGAGTGGAAAAGTATTTTGATGTTGATTGGAAGAGTATGCCAGATTCCTAGGATCATATTATGGAAGTAATTTCATATGCGAGGAGGTTGCCTAAGAGATTAATTCAGAAACTTATTCTTACGGCCTCGTTATATTATGTTTGGCAGGAGCGCAATAGAAGGTTGTTTACTAATTAAAAAACGAACCGCTATGCAACTTGTCAAGGAGATAAAGAGTAAAATCTTTATGCGTGCGGCTTGGAAGGAGAATAAGAATGAGAGGACCAGTATTACGAATGGGGCGTGATCATTTGTTTGGTGGGTTTTGGTGGTTTGTAGGCGGGTCTTTGCTTTGGAGAAGGCTTCTTTTTCATCCTGTCTTGCGGTTTGTTTTTTTTATGTTTGCTTTGTACTTTCTGGCTTATTGTTGCTTGATATGGTGTGGTGACCAAGTTTTTTTCTGTTTTGCCGTTTGGCTTTGGTTGTGGCTTTTAGCTTGACTCTTGTTTGTTTTTTCAGTGATTTATAAATTTGTCTGGTTTCCCCTTCTAAACAAAAGATGCTAATGAAGAAGTACATTGAGAGATATATTTGTATCTTGAAGAAAGGAATGAAGCTCTGCATCTTGGTTGGATGGACAGAGATTTGGTTGCTTCTTGTGCTTGGAAATGAAAGAACAAACAAACCTCATCATTTAAAAATTTCAAAATGGGAAAGAGGATGGGAAAGGAGAGGAAACTGTTGGGTTGAGGGAGAAGTTGAATAAGGAGGGGAGGAACGACGGAGGTCACCACCGGTGAAAGCTAGAGTTGATATTTTGATGTTCTAATACTTTTTTTTGGAAAGGAGACAACACTCCTAGCAAATGCATTAAAACCAAGAAACAAGCTTACAGAACAAAAGGCAAAGCCACCAGAAACAATAAAAACGGGTCACCTCCCCATACCATACAAAAATAAACCAAAACATACACAAGGAAATAGAAGCAAAATGCATACAAAAGAGGATCCCAAACAAATGAAACCTCATAAAAGACCAACTACCAAGCCAAGCAAACCACTCCCCAAAACTAGGACTTTCCATCACTAATAATAGTCACAATTCTTCTTCCACGATACCTCCAAGTCAGGATGCCAGAACCACATCGCGAATTTCTTTAGCAATCTGAACCGAATTCCTCCTTTGATTCTGAAAGAGTCTTCGATTGCGCTCTCTCCAAACATGATAAATAGAAGCCGCAAGGGAGAGCTTTGTGTATAGAAGACCAAACATTACTGTTGGTCCCTTGAGGGTCTACAAGATAAGTATAACAGTTTGTAGAAGAGGGGGATGAATACAAACACAATATTTTCAAATTTAAAAATGTATATTGATAAAGAAGATCAATACAAATTTTACAAGACTGTTTGCGGAAAGATAAGGTAAGAAAACCTATCTAAACAATCTTTGATTACACACAGATTCTTAACAAAAGAGAAAAGAAATGTTGTAAGAAAAGTTCCTTTACTTAAGCTAGAAAATGCTTAAAGTAAGAATTAGGTTTAGAGAGTGAGTTGCGCGCACTCTGCATGGAAGAGAAACACTTCTATTTATACCCAGTTCATTAAATGAATATTTAATGCAATATGGTAGGGTTAGAGTGCGTGTCAAGCCTTAAGAGGAAGACTTGTCCTTTGCTACAGTGAATAGTAGAAGGAGCACTATTCATGAGCAGACATCCTTACCTAAAGTTGGTGGGCAATAGAGTCGACTAGTCGGCTCTGTACCTTACCAACGTTTAGAAGGGTATGGGTTTGTCTTTTGTGTGCATAAGGAAAATATAACAACAATCGTGCTAAGCAAGCTTCATTTGATCGCTGAATGCTGGAATAACCTGAAGGTCTTTTCAGCATTCGCTGAGGCTTGAGCAGTCTTCACACATATGTAGACGGACTTGTAATCACTGAGTACCGCTTCAGATCACGTACTCTCCAGTCTCTAATCTTCAGTTTCAGTCTTCGACATTAGCTGAAGGTTCTTTGGTGCGAGTGTTATCTTCTTGAAGTATCATTGTCTCTGATTGAATTATGTTAGACCCCATAATCCATAGAGTGTAAAAGTAATGAAAAACAATAAGTGATGAAGAACCAGAAGACCGATGAAGACATCAAGGCAGAATTGACCAAGTCTGGAGAACAACCAGAGGATCGATGAACAACCAGAGATGCGATGGAAAGAGCATCTTCATCACCCCTCTGGTCAACAACACTTAGAGTTTTCTTCAGCAATTCAACCAGAGGCATACGATGAACATATGAAGATAAGGTTGATTCATCATCCCATGAAAGACAGCTGGAGATGACAAGTCGACAGCTGGATTTCAAGTTTATCTTAAAATTATAGCTTATCCATAGTTTAGATAAACTTTATCTGTTAATAGAAGATTAGCTAAATAGTCTCACTAGATARTTATCTTCTAAWTAGCTTRCTAGTATAAATAGGTGATTAGGMMTATTGTATTAAATGTCGCTTTTACGTTTTTCTTATTAATAAAGTGAAACATTTGACACTCAAGATTGTTCTTTGATGTTCATAATTTATTCTTGAGTGTTCATCACTTTGTTCATTAAATCATTATAATTTGGTTATTCTTAACTCGATTATTAGTGTTATTGAGAGATCTAGGATCAATAATTGGTATCAGAGCCAATTGATTGTTTTTCCAATCAAACGATCATCCAAAATCTCTCAATTTTTGTTTTTCTCTCTCTCACACCAAAACGTAAAAACTCTCTTCTAAAAATTCTCAATGGCCAACTGGAATTCTGTGTATAGTGTTGGCTCCCTCACCAAGCCTCCAACGAGAAGAATACCCACAATGGAAGATAAGAATGGTGAATGTCTTGGAAGGAATGGACAGGAACCTCCTACGATCTGTAATGGAGGGTCCTTAAGTTCTACAAACTCTTGTCCCAAGAGTCCCAGGAACAAACACCGCAGCTGAAATTCTTGCCTATTACATGCCCAAGGATGAGAAGAATTGGGATGAAAACGACATAGAACGGGTTGAGACTGACAAGAAGGCCAAACGACTAATAATCATGGTCACACCCAATGAAATCTTCTAATCCCTCGATGCATGTTCTACAACCAAGGAACTATGGGATGAACTGGCAAGCCAACTGGAAGGAGGGGCAAAAACGAAGAAAAATCGTAGAGCACAATGTCTCAACGAATACACAAACTTCAAGGCCCATCTTGATGAACCGATTCAGAAGACATACGATCGTTTCAACACATTGATTAATCAATGTCGTCGAAATGATATCTCCAAAACTAAAGAAGAAAACAATGTTTTATTCCTAAAAAGCTTGGCGATGAATGGACTCAGCTGTCTATGTCCCTTCAAGCAAATCAGGACCTAGACGGCTGGTCACTTCATGATCTGTATGGAACGCTTGCTGCACAAGAGAACGACATTATGAAGAAGATGGTATCGATTGGTGGACCTCTCGCACTTGCTGCCGATGAAAAGGAAATATCAAGGACCCCTACCAGAGAACATAAGAAGAAAGGAAAGAAAGCACTCGTGGTAGAATCAGAATCTGAAGACGAAACTTCTGAATAAGATGATGAAATTAAAGCCTTTGCCAAATCTCTGGCCTTGATTACAAAGCAGTTTCATAAAAAGTTCATCAAGAAACCCTATGAACGAAAAGAATTCAAGAGGGAAAGGTACCAGTCATCCTATGAAAGGAAGCCATCTAAGTTTCATCAGAGGGAAGGAAGAGATGGAAGAGAAGAGAGAGAAGAAATAACAGAAGACAGAAGAGACGAGAGGAAAGAGGACAAGGATGGAAGGAAAAATGACCTCCGCTGCTTCAGGTGCGGAAAACTCGGTCATTTTTCCAAAGAATGCAGAGGACGATTGGTAAAGGATGCTGACAATTACAAGAACAAATACAAGTATAATCCTAGAGAGCGAAGCCTGATGGCCGAGAAAGAAAACTGGGTGTCTGATTCTTCATCAGATGATGAAGACAAAGCACTCATCTGTCTGATGGCCACGTCCAATGCAGAATCTGCCTCCAACTCTGATGATCAAGTATGTGATCTATTTCCAATGAAACCAACTCTGCTCCATTTGAGCTAGAGTTAAGGGTGATAAAACTTTCAGAGGATTTCTTTAAATTAAAAGAGAAATTAAATTTTGAAAAATCTGAAAAATAAAAGCGAAAAAAGAAGCAAGTTTCTACAAAAGAGAGACCGACCTTCTAACCGAAGAAAAAGCCGAACTAGCTAAGGAAAAGACTCGCATCACCACACTTAAGAAATCAAAGGAAGATAAACTTCTGGAACTAAACAAACGAATAACTA